TTTTTTTTCCAGATTAATGAATGAATCTTATTAGTAGAGGTGTGAATGATTGTCTTTTAACACATCTGAGCTAAGTAAGAATCTGACAATTTATCCTACAATTACACTTGATGTTTGCAAGGAAGCTCTGAATGGACCATACAATAAATATGTGTAAGCAGAAAGCAAATATGAAGAGCCATGAAGAGCATGGGTGAAGGATCAAGTTAAAAGTGTTATTGCACAAGTTTAAAATGAAATACACAGTTTTACTGTGCAGAAATGTTTAACTTCAGTCTACCCATTGCATATTCATTTTGGGTGTTTGATATCGTAATCAGAAAAAGCATCATTGCCAAGTAGTGTTTTATGCATATAAGGAATTTGTCTTGGTGATGACGTGCAACAAACAGACAAGCAAACACAAAAAAAACACATAAGTAACCTTAGAAATATATAATACGGAACAAAATAAACACAGTTGGTGGAAAAACATTTATAGAATACAGATTAAAAGTGCAGCTTTTGCAGAGGAAGAGCACCATGGCAGATAATGAAATTACTTTTAACAACAGTATAAAATTTGATTTAAGATTATACAGATACATGTGCTAAGATGTTTGATTTCTCTTTTTTTCCTCCTTAAATTGGAAAACATTTAGTGGAGGAACTGCGCCTTGGTAATGAGGCTAATAGCAGATGGGAAATAAAAATGTTTGGGGGAAAGATGTTTTGGTTCTGATACAACGTGCTTCAGCCAGAGAGGGGAATCTGAAACAGTTTGTGTCCAGGGTGGGTGGAATCAGCGGCAGTCTTACCTGCTTACCTCTGGGTCCTGGAGGTGTACAGCTTCTGAAGATAAAGGACATTGCAACCAATCACTCTCTCTGCAGGCATTGTCTAGATGGTGGCAGCAGTGTGAGGAGGCGAGGATGGACTCAGTGTTTGCGGAGTAGAAGTGCACCATCACTGTTTTTGACAGGCTGAACTTCTTCATCGCCTAGGGAATGTGCAGTTCTCTGCTGTTTGTTCTTGGTGACTTCCTGAGAGATGACGGTGTATGGTAGCAGAAGAAGTTTTTTTTTTTCCCCACCTATAGGTGGACACACTCACTCACAAAAGCTTAACCTAGAGCAGAGTCAGGATCATAGAGTTGAAAGCAGAGCTTTAGGCAACAAATAGCATGCTACTATTGGTTCATAGGGAGTCCAGGTGCAGAAGGATGTAGTGCAAAGCCATGTTTATTGTATCATCTACAGACCTGTTGGTATGGGCAAACTGACGTGCATTCAAGAGTGGGTGTGTGATGAATTTAAAGGACTTTATTACTACAGAGGTTTGGGTGACGGTATTGTAGTCATTTAGTCCTTTGCTTGGTTTCTTGGGAACAGGGCAGCTGGTTTAGGCTTTGAAGCAGGCTGGCAGGAATGTCTGTGAACAACAAAGACAGTTGGATGTAGAGACATGATCCGGTCCGGCTGCTTTGAGACTGTCTTGTTCTCCAGTCTGTTGTTTACAAGACGAGCAGGCTATGGTGTACGTACCTCTATGTGAACAGCCGTCCCTCAGAGCTTAGCCTCTCCCTGCCAATAAAATGCTTCTGCCAGCATAATATAGTGTAGGAGCAACTAGATTGCAAAAGTAACCTAGATTGCTTTTGCAGGAGAGCTACTAATACTGCAGTAGTAGTGTAATTACGCTACTAGCCAATCTTTAATGGCATAATTATCCAGGTATTGACAAACACTGTAGAAGCTTTGCCAAAATGAAGTTCTTTTGCTATCAGAATGAAAAAAATTGGTGTAAGTTGCTTTTTTACCAGACAAGTCCTGTCTGGTGGTGCTTTTGCTGTGTATTTATATGCAAATATGTGTATATAAGGTGATGAAGAAAGTTGGGTATGGGGTTGTAGCAGGAGTGAAGGTAGAGTGAGGTGTAGCTTGTCATACATCTTGTTTTGGTCTACAGACAGTGCTCAACAGCTCAGCTGTGTTGAAATCATTTTATTTTCTTTTAAGAAGGCCATCAGTCTTCCAGCTTTGAAAATCACAGAAAATCCACCCTAACGCCTGACTGTTGAAGGAAAAAATAAATCTGTTCTAAACTTTACAGGTAGCATGCTAAATCTAAGTATTCATGCAAGTAAAAGATAAAAAGCAGAAGTTTGAAAAAAATATCTGGATAAACACTTCTCAAAGAATTTATTTTGGACTGATATGAGTTTAGTTTAAATTATGATGTCTGAGCTTGATCAATAGCAGCAAATTATGGTAAAAAAAATGTAAATAAGCTCAAACACCTGTCACCAACAGAAAAGCACAGTAATGGAGGTGTGATTATTTAACGCAATATTAATGACCTTAATAACATTGCACAATTTGCTTGAATATACAGTCTCTAAGGGAAATTATGTTACATCAGCATCCATCTTTATAAAGAATGGGAAAGGGGGGAGTGATGCATGCCGTAAAGCAGTCTGCACAGGGGTCCGGCAGGGTTACTGCCACCTTCCTCAAAGTTGCTTAGTGCCGGTGAAAGTGATACAGACCCATCGGCCCATAACAGAGGTTTTATTCAATTAGCTGTCTGAGATTTAAGGTCATTGGTTGTACCAAGGGCACAAACAGAGGTATTCCAAAATATCAATTTATTTGTTGTTATAAAACAGTCTCTTTAAGTAAGGCATATCTTCTATTGGAATGTTTTCATCCATTGTTAACCAAAGTAAAACTGTAAAAGTACTACACAGTGCCTGTGTGTGGCGTTGTGAACATTTCATAGAAATACTTAAAAAATACAGCAGCAACACACAGTGCACACATTAAGCATGGACGGCTCCTGCTTGATTAAGCTTTCATGTTTTGGTTTTTTTAGCCAACTTTAGAAAAAAAAATCACTTCTGCTGCATCATCCAGATTTTTCTCTGATGCATTCATTTTTTTTTCCCACAACACAGTTGAGTAACAGAGTCTTCAGCACTGTATGTAACGTTGCGGCAGAAGCTGTGCTGATTTTTTGTATGGTTGTTGTCTTTTGGAAATTAAATGAAAAGTTGCAATTTTTGAATTATTGGACAAACAAAAATCCCTCATAAACATCTATGGTTAAATAGCTTAACTAGATACAGTACAGTGGAATTTACAACTAATTACAGTTTTCTGTGACTATTAGATTTTATCAAATTGTTTCTCCTTAATTTTCTCTGGCACCTCAGTTAAATCAAACACACTAAATATATTGCAATGTAGTACAGTCATATGGTATTACAGTAATTGTACCAATGAAAGACTGTAATTACTAATCAACACCTTATTAAAAAACTGTGATTAATATTGCTTTTTATTCAGGTTAATAGGTACG